CTGGGGATCGAACCCTGGCTGCTGCGTTCCGCCTAAGCAGGCACTTTAGCCCACTGAGCTATCAAGCTGGCCTATTCTACCTTTTGTGCTACAAGTACTGTGGTCCTATTCAATCATCAACAATTGCACTTCAAACAACCAAAAATAAAACCCACCTCTAAATATAAATTTTCAAATTATACTTGTTGCCAGGACGCAATGTCTACTTTTTTGTGATGAGAAAGAACTACAAATTCATTATACATTTATGAAGTTACAAATTAATAAAGAGACAAAAGTGCAAGCAATTTTCTTAGTGATTTCTGTAACAAAGGAATGACCCAGCAGTAAATGGAAGCAATAGAAAGAGTGTGTCAGGCTGAAGATTATCCTTCAGCCCAGTGTGCTGAACACCGCCTTCAGGTGTGGAATGACAAGATCCTGTGTACAGACATTCCCTATGGCCTCTTTATTCCTTATTTTCTCTTCACATGTACTGATGGGGAAAAAACTGAAATGTAAATAATCTTAGCTCAAATGTGTTTAAAGAAGAGAAATCAGCCAGCTTCCAGTTAAAGTGTGACCTAATTCTGTCACTTTCACAAGTTCTATGCTTGGACAGACACCAACAGAGTTTTTACACTACTGTGGCACTGGGTTGAATTGTGCACCTCACTCCTAATTCCTGTACTGAAACCCGAACACCCCGCCACCAGAATGTGACTGAGTGTGGAGACAGGGACATCAATCAAGTGAGGTTTAAAGTAAGTGGAAAATGAAGCTGTTACAGTGGGCTCTAACAAGAAGAGGAAAGTTAGATACCAAAGAGACACCAGGGATGGGCAAGACTGTGCGGGGATGCAGTAAGAAGGCGGCCATTTGGCAGTCTGGAAGAGGACTTCTGGGAGAAACCACAGGAACGCACACACTGACCTTCGACTTCCAACCTCCAGAGCTGCAGAAAGTAGACTATTTTTCAGCCACCCAGTGTGATGTTTTGTTATAGCTGTCCCAGCAGACCAATATATCCTATGCACAGGAGGACATGGGCCTTAGGAATGACTCGGGTGGGCGGCAGGTAGCCCGTGGTCCAGACTCCTAGTGTGTCCCTGGCAAGGAAATGAAGTTTCCAATCTTTTTCAATATTTATGAAACCCAAGGCATTCTCTGTTAAGTAAAAGGTGCTTTTGTGAAGTGGATATTTTTGCCTTTTGTAACTTTTATACAAGAAGAAGTATCATATGGAGAGAAATCAATGAGTTATTTCAGTTTGAAATCGGAGCACAAGTAACTTTAATCATCATTAGGGAATTAGACAGTTTTCTAATAATCGAATATCAAGGCAGTACATTGGAAAAGCTTGAAATAAGATCTAAAAAAGTACTCTATAGAGGGGAGGAGGAGTAACACTGAAGTTCATTGAAGTAAGAGGCAGGAAATCCATACCTGACTCCCAAGCAGTCTTAGAGAGTACCTAAGATCTTTGAACAACCTGAATATCATAATGGGTGGATACATGACTGGCCTAGATTTAGTTTTTAGTACTAGGAATTAACCCAGGGCCTTGGCATTGAGCAACACACCCGACCTCCCTTTTTTATTTTGAGACAAGATCTTCCTAAGTTGTAAAGTCCCCTGGGCTGGAGCTCCCGAGGCTCCAACTTGTGACCCTTGCTCCTCAGTAATCCTTAAATATTGTAAGAGATGTATTTGTAAACCTAAAGATCTTTTCTTTTACTTTTCAAAAATGTAATTTTCATTCTTTTAGTCCTGCACGATACGTATATTTCTGTGGTGGGTTTTAAAGGTTATGTTTCAGCTGCTAAAATAAGTTAATTCAAGACTTACTTCTATCCAGCAAACTGCTAAGTGCTAGTATACCCATTGGGATGCAAACTTTTGCTTAAAAAATGTTTTTCTTTTCACTTAAATTACCATTTTTCCCTCTAAATTATGTAGATGGAAGCACATATTTGAGCCTAAGAGCTTTTACAGTTGATGGCTATTCTTAAATCAAACATGGGGTTTTACATATTTTACCATCCCTAAAAATTAACATTTCTTGCTTCCGAGAAACTATACTTCTTTTTAAAAATTATGATTTTTCCATTAAGATAATCAGTGTTAAAAAAGGGATTATCCATGTAAAAATAAATTTGCTGTTGAGCAGACTGGGTGTTGAGGTCACGCACCACGTCCCACCATGGATGCATCTGACCCTGCCTGAAGGCTGGATCAGTGCCGAAGAAGGCCCCCAGGTGGGGGAGGTGTGCGACGTGGGACAGAAACAGGCAGAGAATGTTCACATTTGAAAAGCTGCACAGTGGAAGACGCATTGCCACTACCTCCCATCAGGAGTCTCCCCCTCACCAAATCCGCATTCCACGTGCTTGCCACGTTGTGAAGCAGTTCTCGAAGGCTTCCTTAGTGGGTGTCTGGAGCTGAGGTTCCCTGGCTGTCCCAATGTCCTGAAATGATTCGAAATGACCTTTCATGGTCATTTGGCTTTGGGGAAGATCCAGACGCTTCATGGTGCAAGGTCTGGTAACTCAGGTGGATGAAAGTCCTTGTATAAGACTTATTCGTGAAGCTCTCTTTCTACTGAAAGACACACGGCAACAGTGTTCACTGTATTTTTGATCGTACTTCATAAAGACAGGAGAAAGAGGACTTCAGAACTGCTCCCCAACATGGCAAGAACAATGGGATAATGGTGTTCCAAGTGAGGAAGAGGAGGAAGATTGTGATGGGGACTAATGACAGGGTGCCTTGCTCTGTAATAAATTTTAAAAATGTAAATATTCATTGCATATTTTGATCATGTCTTGTGTTAGTTTTAAGGTTGCTATAAAAATTATTACAACTTTAATGGATTAAAACACATGCTTATTCTCTTACAGTTTGAGAAGCCAGAAACCCAAATCTGTTCCTCTGGGTTAAGCCCCAGCATCAGCAGGTTTGGCCCCTCTAGACAATGTGAGGCCGCCGTCTGTTTCCTTACTGCCTCCAATTTGCAGAGTTTCTAGCTCTCAGCTCGTGGCCACTTTCCCCACCTGCACAGTCAGGGGCTAACCATGTCCCGCTCTTCTCGGGCCACATCGCCACCTTGCAGTTTGATTCCCCTCACTCCCTTTCAGCAGCACCCTGTGGTTCCACTGGCCTCACCCGAGCAACCTGAGATCCTCTCTCCTTATCACGATCCTTAATGTCACCACAGCTGCAGGTCTCCTTTGCCACATGACACTGGGGCCAAGGGAGGAGGCTCACAGGTGACCCTTTCCGACAGTAATGGCACTTCTATGGTAATGTTCACTATGTGCCTCCCATGGCACCATTCTGGACACTCTACAAGTACCAACTCATTTGGTTTCTAGTCCTAGGAGCAGGGCAGGAAGGCCTTGGTACTGCCCTGAAAGGGCTGCTGCAGGAGCTCTCAGCCCATTAGCAGGTCACTGCCAGGCTCAATGCCACTCACCCAAAATAGCAGAGTTAGGATTCATACCACAGAGTCTGGCTTCACCACCTGCGAGGTTAGCCACTCTCCTGATGTGAAGAGACACCGACAGGCAGTGGATCTTCATCTGAGGGCATGAAAAGACTTTGGACTTTTAGCTATAGGAAGAACTTGGTAGCTCATGTCTTGTTTTTCATCTGATGTCAAAGTTGAGGAATCCAAAGTCTGCCTTGACATTAAGCAATAAATTGAAATTCAGAAATTAAATGACTTTCTCAAGGCCACATAACAGAGATGGCAAAGCTTCTCATCTACTGCAGTCATGAGTCATGGGATGTCATAGGCTGAGCTGCGTCCCCTTAAAGTACCATGGTAAAGTCCCAACCTCTTGTCCCTCAGAGGTTAACCATATTTCAAAACAGGCTGTTAAGAGATAATTAAAGCCAAGTGGCCCTATGGGAGGACCCTAATCCAATATAGCTGGTGTCCTATAAAGCCAGTGCCTGGCGATGACATATACAGAGGAAAGGGCATGCGAGGACACAGCTATACTGTGTCCTTCTGCCAGCCGTGGGGAGCACCCAGAAGAGATGTGTCCTGGTGACACCATGATCTGGGCCTGTATTCTCCAGAATGGTGAGAAGATAAATGTCTGGTGTTCAGGCCTCCTGGTCTACGGCATTTCGTTACTGCAGACCTGGCAAATTAATCCACCCCAGATGAACTTTTGACACTGCTTGGGCGGGAAACAGCTAGCCCATGATCTAGATTTCTGAGGTCTCCCAGGGAAAGCCATAGAGTTTGTTAATAATTTGCAATATTCATAAAAACCTAAGTGCACAGAAATATCCTCTAACAAAAACTTCAAGTTGCATTCTTTTTTCCTTTTCAATGGAATTACACCAGATCAATAAGCTAGCACAAGCTTTTTCACATTAACTTGAAAGATTAACTAGACATTTATGATTTTTATCAATTAAAAACATGAAAATTATTTATCACTCAATAATAAAGTTGATTTGTTCAGTAAATAAAAACTCAAGATTTCTGATGAAGAGAAGTTGAGTACGAACCGCTGATCTAAGTCCCAATTTCCTTATTTGAATCTTCCAAGACCCATGCTGTTTAATCCCCTTCAAATTTTTAGAGCTCTTTGGGTGGAATACTGAGCAAATTATATGGCTGTAGTCATCTGTCACACAAGGGTGCTGAGAGCCATTGTCCTCAGATCTGGGAGTGCTGCTGACATTCGCTGAGCGCTGTGTTTAGTTATTTTTCTGAAAGTCAACAAAATAGGAAAACAGCCTAATAAACCAAGTGACTAGATGTAGCTCTTGAACCTAGTAGAAGCAAAATTAAAAAGCCAAGGCTCCAAGTACAAATACTAGAGTTACTGGAGTGCTCAGAGCCTCAGTGGAGTGTATCTGAAAGTTTGGAAAAGAGTACTGTCAGTACTGTATTTCATTTAAAAATAACAGCAAAAGTATGAAGAACAGAAAACTCTATTAAGAAGAGATTTTTATTAAATGCTTTATAGTAAAATACTGAGGCTACTCTAGTACAATACACAGGCCTGATGTTTTAATAAGCAGCACAAGTAGCTGAGGGGAGCTCACGTTGTCATCACAGCTGGCCTTGGGGACCTCATGTACAGACGTAGGTCCTTTCTGCTCTCCTGCCTTAGGCCTTAGGAGAAATTCATAATATTTCCTGAGTAATACACTCAACAATTCTTTAAAATATGTTACCTTAACAAAAAACATGAACATTTCTAATGGATGTATCTGTTTTAGCTGTTAGTGTCTTCAATAACTGAAAACTACAATTCTAAGTTTATCATACCGCAAGTCTTTGGGGTGGCATAAGGCTTTCGAGCACAAGGTTAATTTCAAGGCAGTTCACCAAGGACTACACTTTCTGGTGGCATGAGAAGATAAAAATAAATGTCAGGGTTAGCCCACTACTTCCTAAACAACAGGATCTAAGCCTACTCTGGGGAATAAAGTTGTGGGAATGAGTGGATACTGGGTGGTAACAGATGGCTGGAGGAAAGTGGTGAGACTGAGGACTACTAACTATTAACATTATAAATGTGTCTTTATCCATTGGTCAACATTTTCTTCCAGTATATAATGATTTTAAGACAGCATTTCTACGAACTACAGTGGCTCATTCATTTTTAAGTCAGTTTGCAAACAAATTTTAATACTGAATATCTAAAGTTAATGGATTTTTTGTGCATTTATCCATTAAGTATGTCTGGCATTCTCAGCCATCCATGGTTCTTAAATATATGGTTTCTTGTTAAAAAAAAATCACTAAAACAAAACTCACATTGGAAAAATGCTATCTACCTAGAGTTCATCATAATAATCACAAGCAACTTACCCAATCCTGATTATTGAGCTTACAAAGAGCTAAACCAATTTGTCTAATTCCCATTGTTTAGATCTCTTTCCCTTAAAGTAATGTAATTAATTCAACAATAAAGTAATTATTCTAAAAACCACATTTTAAGAACTGCATTTATACTCATATATATTGAGTGCTGGGCCTGAATTTGGTACAGTGGAATAATGTCCACACGCTGGTGTTTTCCCTACTGAACCCCATTCATTCTCTGACTCTGACAACCAATGGGAGAACTTCAAAGTAAAGCAAAGTGTTAACTGCAAAGCAAACATTTCTGTACTCATATTGAAAAAAGAGATCATGCTTTGCAAACACGGCAAAACGAATTCGTTGCCTAAACATACAACCATCTCCATTACAGACTGAAGCAGCCAGCTCTTGTACACCAGAGAACACTTATTTTAGGAAGGTTACAACCAATGCTTTAAGAAGGAAGCGCTGGTGAAAACAGTTTTAAAATATATACCCTTAGAAAATGATACCTTTTTAAACATCAAAACCTTGTTTCAGAAGTTCCTCGCTTTAGATTGTTACTCAAAAACTCATCGTGTTCGAAACTCAAGTTATTATGAGATCTTGAAATCATAAGAAGCTTTTCCTTATTGGTAAAGTCTTTCTTGATCGCTGCTTGGGGCACAAGCAGCCTATCCATCGGGTCCTCTTTGTTCTCCAGCTTCATGTAGCCCTTGCTGTTGCTCCGATCCAGCCGAGGCCAACTGGGGTGTTTCCGCTGTTCAGCCTGAACTGTTAGTGTGGAGGATCGCTCTAAGTCTAGGGATTTGGAGTGCGAAGAGAGCAGATGCAAGGATGTATTGGATCCAAACTGTCTTCTCGCAGCCCCAGGGGACAAGAGCTGTCCAGCCCGAGGTCCAAGGGCCACAGAGGACTTGTACTGGCTGGACAGTGACTCCCCAATGGAATTATTCCTTGGGAGCCCCATGCTAACAGGCTGGAAGGATTCACCCAGCGTGGGCTGAGGGACCACAAGCGAATCCATTGACAAATTCCTCGACCTGTCCTTGAGGTTATCAGCATCCTCAGTGATGTTATCTATACTAGGCTCATCAATGACACAGTTATTAAGTTTGATCACAGGCAGTGTAAAAGCACTGATGGACGATGACACAATTGACTTGGTTTCACATTTTTTAGAGCCGCTGGTCTTATCCTCAGTTGTCTTGGAAGGAGGTGGATAAAGGCCAAAGACAGAGACAGAGCTGTCAGAGAGCAAAGGGGGTATGAGATGGCCCAAACTCTTCCTCTCACTGGGCATGAGCTCATCCTCTTCCACAGAGCTGTCCATCCGAAAGCTGCCCCGCAGGCCCGAGAGAGAGGTGACTGCATTTGCTGCTAGCCTGGAAGCACAGGAGCTCCCGTTCTGCTTCACTTCCGGCTCCTCCATCAAGCCAGAGTAGAGGCCATTCAGATGCTTCTGCTCCTTGATTCTCAGCGTGTGGATGTCAATGACCGTGGAGTAGATGTCTCTCATGTGGATGATTTTGGTTTCCTTGTCACGGTTTTCATGCAGAATGGCATTCGCACAGATAAAAATGAAAATGCCAATCCCCATGGTGAAAGGGCCCAGCATTTTCATCTTATCTGAATGTAAATGCTGCTCAAAGAAGCGAACCACCACACCGCCCTGGTTCCGGATGACCTGAGTTTCATTGGTCGACAAGGTTGTTTCAGCGTCGATGAAATGTTCTTTTTGGGGCCAATATCCAAGGACAGCCATTGCGATGCCTACGATGGAGATAAGTACTCCTAAAATGAGAAAGAAACCAGATGGAGAATAAAGCCGGATTTTGCCACGAACAACCACGACATCGGCCCGGGGCCGCCTCCTGACAGGCTTCTTCTCCTCAGTGGCAGGGGAGGGGCTGAGGTTGACGTGGTGCTGGGATCGGGCAGAGTCCTGTCGTTTCAGGGCCGCCAGGCCAGTGATCACCCCGCCAGTGGCTATCATAGCTCAGTCTTCGTCCTGAAAGCAAAGAAGATGGGTGACGATCAAAATGTATTCCAGGGTGAAACATCAGCTTAGTTCAAGAACTACACACGTGGCATTCGAGGCTATTGTTTCACGTAATTAAATGAGACATAAAAATATCCTTTTCAGGGACACAGCTCTGATAGACACTTTGTTGATGGACGTACATAAAGTTTTGGAGATCTGATTTTTTTGGCTAAATGAAGTGTTCACAGTATTAATGCACTGTGAGCTCAAAGTATATTTTTAAAAAAATATTTTATTGCATCATATAAAGTAGTGGCATAATCACAAGTCTGTTTTTCTCTCGTCACACACACATCATACACACACACACACACACACACACACACACACACACACACACACCATAATCATTTCTGTTATTTAAGCAAGATGGAAGAATACAAAAAGTCTAACAGGCTAAATATAAACCCCACTCTCACAAAGAGGACACACCCCAGCAATCTGGGCCTCTAGCACCACTCCCGAGAACACGCCATGCCTCCTCCCCCTACCCCTTTCGCTTTTCTTACATCTCTGCGCCCATGTGCACCACCACTGCTCCTCTCTCCGAACCCTCTCTTCCTTAGACTTGGTCAATACTGAGGCCTGGTTCTACCCCGACCTCACAGATGATCTGATTTCACTTTTGGCTCCTTGACCCTTACCTCAATGGGTACCACCCTTCCCCCAGAGGCCCACGCTTAGCCCCATTCTCCTCTGCATTCATATCCGCTCTGCATCTTCCACTATTTCCTTTATGTTGATGAGTCCCACATCTATGCTCTGGGTCATATCCTGAGTTTCAGTTTCACATTTTCAACTGCCCCCTGGAGAACACATGGGGCACCACTAGCAAAGTTGAGCTCAGCTTCTACCCGCTGTGCCTCCTGCCTTGTCTGGCTCTTAATGGGGTCAGTTCTCAGGCCTGGCTCCTCACAGTATTCCACAATTCCTCCCCTTCCACTTCTCTTCCAAGCAGTTGTACCTCTTCTCTATTCCTCTATTCCAATCCTGCTCCACCCAACCTAGTGCAGCTTCTATTAACTCTGAGTGACTATCAGAATAATTTCCCAACCTCCCCAAAAATCTCTTCAAACTGCAGTTTCTCTTACTTTACAATCAAGCTGAGAAGCACATAGCAGGCCAACTGTCCTATGACACACATCTGAGATGGTTTAAAGAGTGGAATAACGGGGAAACATTCCACATTACCCGAGTTTAATCTGGGCTTGCAGACCCACCGAGTTTAACCTTATCTCTGTTTGTTTTAATTGCATGTAACTGGAACCCAACCAACATTTCCTGTTTCTCCTACATATTCTGCTCAGTACTGCCTCTGAGAGACTTTGTTAAGAATGTCCCCAATGTCCTGTCTGTATCACTCCCCATCACCCAGCATCTTTGCATCTTGACTCAGGTTAATCATCAGACTCATGATCCACTTCCTTTGCAAGATCTTCCCTGGAAGATCCCCCTTCCTTTTGCCCCGGGTTTTCTTCCTTGGGGGCTTTTGGGCCGGTTTTTTTAATGGCTCCTGACATAGTATAATGTTCAATTCTTCCATGTTTGTGGAAGAATCTGAAGTACATCAAACGGAATTCATATTTTATCATCAGAAACATTCACTAATGCACCTTGCACATAGCTGATATTCAAAAAGTATTTGCTAGAATTTTGAATAAAGGAATTATTTTTTCCCTAGAATGACCCTATTACTATATTCACTTTTCCAATTAAAATGATAGTGAATAAAATTAATTTCCAACCAAAAAGGTACATTTTGAGAGTTGATAATACATCTTGTTTACTATGAATAATCCTCAAACTGCCAACTTGGGAGGAAAAGGAAAGACACTCTAAGCTGAGAGAGCCTCAAATCTCATCTTGCAAAATCAAGCTTTTCTTTTGAGTTCCTATGTATGATTTCTGAATTGTGTTGAAATAACAGGGCTGTGGATGGTACACACCATTATAGTAAGCTGGTGAGTAAAGCCATTCTTCAGTGGAATTATAATGATGAACAGAGTTTAATGTTAGAAAGACCACCTAAATTGCAACACACAGCCCTAGTCCATGACATTCATCAGAGACTGCACACTACAGCTCAGAACCTCTTTCAAAACTTGGCTAACATGAAGTGTAGCGTCAACCTATACTTTCTTGAACCCAAACCAGTTCCAAATGTTTGAAGAAAATCCTTAGACAGCAGCCATCTAACCCAATTATTTCCATATGGCAAGACAAGGATTTGCTCTGAAATCTTTCTGAATAGATGGGTTTCAGAAAGAAAGAGAAACAAAGGCAAAAGCCTTTCCTTTGATTGAAAAGCAACCACAGCGATTTGCATTCCACACAGAATTCTGGTCCTCCACCACTTGTTAAAACATTCTCTACTGGCTCTGCTGTTTCCCATTCCTGAGGTTGACAGAAGAGGAAAAGGGGCCAGAACAGAAGAAAATATTTTCACAATGATATGAACATTGAAAGTTGGGGGAGAGGGGCAGTGGCTGTGAGCCTGCACTGTAAGGAACTTGGACTACACAAGAGGAGGAGGCAGGGAGTCTAACAGTGCAAACATTTACAGAAAATGAACTCCACAATGGTTCAGAAATAAGAGAGTAAGAGTGAGGGGATCAGAGTTTATGCAGGGAATTTCACCTGGTCAAGACTAAAGGTTTAGTGCCAGTACCTCCTTTAAGAGGATACATGATATTCAGCGCTGGACAAGAGCCTCAAATGTCTCTCAGGGACCCAAACTACAGCTCAAGGGAAGACAATGGTGAAGGGACTTAGTGGCTGCTTCAAAGAGCTTGAAACCTGAGGGAAGAGCCGATGGCCCAACACAGAACAGGATAACCGACTCCAGGGATGGGAGCTGCGGTCAGGAAGGACTTTCCAGCAGGCTCCACTTAGGAAGGAGTGTCTTCACACTCAGCACAGTGAACGGTCAGGTTGGCAGCCTTCCAGCGATGGTCCAGGGGAAGAACACAGGCTGGGCAGGTGAGGCACCATTGCTAAAGGCTCGGCTGCTGCACTCCCTAGAGCGGAGCGAGAGCATGACATGAGTACTGTTGTCATTGGATTAGGAAAGTCAATCTCAACCAGTAATGAAAGTAGCAGTGAGGGACAGACACCGGGGACCACACAAGGATGCAGAGACACTGTCACAAAGCCTAGAGAAGCCATGAAGCCAGAGTGGTGAGCCCACGGGCTCATCTCTCCACCGCGGTGCCAGTTGTCAGAAGTGTGCAGCACACACAAAACCTGCCCCAATCTCTTCTATTATTTATGCTGTGGAGCCACATGGTCTCCATCCTACATACCCTTCCATCCCTGCTTTATTCTGTATGTGTTTTGCTGGCAGGGGGTTATAGTTGTTCACTCACTTCCTTATGGCAACAAGTCATAGCAACTTCTAAATTTTAAGAAGAAAAAGAGTTGGGGGCCAGCCAAATAGATCAGTGGATTAAAGCACCTGCAAGCAGGCTCAGGGACCGGGGGTTCAATCCCTGGGCCTGCCGTGCCAGCCCCATCCGCAGGATGCCCTGAGATGGCAATTCAGACTGGGTTTGGTGGCATGCATCTGTAATCTCAGCTCTTAGGAGGCTGTAAGCAGGCGGATCACCACAAATCTAGTAGTGAGACCCTGAACACCCTGTAGACCCTTCCCTAAAAATACAACCCCCCCTCAAAAAAAAAAAAAATAGTCTAGGAAGGGGAAAAGAAGAAAGGGGGGAAATGGGAAGAAAAGAAGAAGATGGAAACAAAGCTGTTTTACATAAGGAGGGGAAGAGGGGTTGAGAAAAGAGAAATGTGAAGAAAAAAAGACTCAATTTATGTATATATACATATTCCCTATAATGAATGTGATCAATATGTACACCTAAAATGTACCAAGAAATT